CAATCAAAACTAATGAATAATCACTGTATCCTTTTTTTTAGACCAAGAAAGGGCTATATATATTGGTGTATATGGGTTATGGGTATACCTATAATAATATTATATAAATAGTGGGATTCGGGGATTGTAACACCTGACACCTATAAGCCCACGGCTTAGTTCATGATATTCTAAACGAAACAAAACAATAATCAAAAATTGAATATTGTAATCTTTGTTCCGGCTAATATAAATATATAATATATTATCATTAATTATTATAATAACGATATTATGGCTGTTCAAGCTATTTAAATAAGCAATACGATTTATTCATTCGTCGGTAAAATACCTTAATTTGAAATACTCAGAATGTGACAATTAATCAATGTCGAATTTTGAAACAACCGTCGTTTCTCCGACACACTCGTTCAAGCAACCCACTCAAAACGTCAAGGCGATGCACACACATACCACTATATCATATCTAACAGTATGTCACTAAGCGTATACAAGTCTGCACATRTATTTATATATTAACTGGATTTTTACGGATTCTTGAAAAGTACCTATTTATTTAAATCAAAATTCAAATTCATATACGTTTCATATATTATGTTATATTATAAATATACAAGGTGATTCTTTTAAGTGGGTACACTAATTATCTCGAAAAGTATTTACTTTTTCACATGGTTTAAAGTTGTTAAAAAACCAACTTTTTTATTAAAAAATTATATTTTTTATCCTTATCATTTTTTTAAGTTTTTTTACTTTTTTGAATGATAACATAGAGTTTTAATTTCATATTCCAAAGCAGAATATTTTTCTAAGTATTTTGATTCATAAAACTCTTATTTAGGACGAGTAGTTTATGAGTTATATGTATTTAAAGTTTAGACAAGCGGAGTAGTGGACAAACATTTTTCGGGGTAACCCCGTACCACACCACTCTGCCAATCTAAGCTTTAAATACTTAAATAAAAACATTGGTTTTTTAACAACTTGAAACCATGCAAAAAAATATTTTTAAAAAAGTAAATACTTTTCGAGATAATTAGTGTACCCACTTAAAAGAATCACTCTGTATAACGAATTTTCAATGATTCACTATCGTCGTTTTACATAATAATTGTCAATAATCAGTCCTGTCGAGTGTGTTATAGGTACCTTATTATAWAGCAGTATTATGCCAGTATAGCTAAGMCTATAGGCTAAGTCTAATGTGTAAGCTTATAAAGTTATAATAGCATTTGTATAATATATTAATATGTATATGTGTAATATTATGTATATTATATAATAMTATAGTTATATATAGGTATTAATTACCTGCCAATAAATKAAACTGAAATCTGCGGTTTATAGTAATACTTAACGTGAACCAATTGCGATCAGAAATAAACAAATATGTAGTTATGATTCCGAGTCTATCAAGGGAGTCGGTGCCGGTCATTTATTTAGGAGTACAATTTAGGCAATTCAATTCACATATATTGGTGGCGCTTGACCGTGTATGTGTGTAAGTGAGTAAGTTTGTATTAGTGTGGGTGAGCAAATACTTCGCATTTACCGCGCGGTAAAAGAAATTTCATAATGTGTATGTGCTATTAGTCCGCGCATTACTATATTACATAGAAATCTTATTATGGATTGTGTTATTATTATTATTTATTATTAACCGGGAATCACAATAATTAACGACTTGAAATTTTCTCTTGCTTTCCATAACCGACTCTTGTAGTCTTGTCCAGTATCAAATTTGTACGTACTTCACTAGTTCACTACGATTTGTAACACATTGATTTATTTTATTTTGACGCAAAATATCAGAAAATGTAAAGCAAGCAAAAATATTCAAATAAAAAAAAAAGTCTCAGCTTATCGGACGGTAAAAAGACATAAACAAATTCAGTAAGTAGGTTATTTTGGTTTTAATAAAGAAAACACAGATACTAAACAATTTATATTTGTGTAAACAAATTAATTAATTTACACGCAAAAATATACATGAAATAATAATAGTTTTTTAAAAATTTATAATGCTTAATTTGGGTTCAAAAATATATCAGGAAATGTTTATAGTTTTAAAAAAATAGAAAGCCTATCAACAATGACAACAAGTATCCATCCTGTAAGAGAAAATGTGTCAAAAGGTCTTAATCAATAAATAGATTTTTTAAGAAAYCATATTTAGAAATTTCAAATAAATATGTATTTCATCAAATTTATTTATTCTATGTGTTTAGCTATGATTCCTCATTTATCATTTAGTACAGAAACTTCCACAAATTATTTAAAGGATAGGTACTCCTAATTTCCCAGAACAGAAGTGAGTTATGTTGAAATGATAATTTAAGTATATTCGTTATTTTAATCATTCAAATTTTAAGTCATGGTCAAAAACTACCCTAAACGGTGAAATGCACTGCAAAAATGAGCAAAACAATTTTGTTTCTATTTCTCTTAAAATACCTAACCAACTAAATGCCTTGAAACTTTTTACATACTATGAAATAGGGTATATAATATATGTATATATCATACATGCTTTAGACAAATTTCAATATATAAAAACAAATTGTGTGCAAAAAAAAAATTAAGAAAAACGGGAAGTTTTACGCAAAATCAATTTTTTTTAGATATTGGTGCAACTCTAAAAAAAAATTCCGACACATGAAATTTTCATTGAATGTTTATACTAGCATTTTCTACACTTCTTGATAAAATTTTCAAATTATTTTAAATATTTTTCAGTTATTTATAGACATTAGAAATTTTCTGTTTTTTATTTTAATTATGGCAATAAAATTTTATTCATTGGGTCAAAAAACTTGAAAATTTAATACAAAGTTCTTCATAAGTTGATATAATAGCAATTCGAAAATATTAAAAATACATATTAAACACATTTAAAGTTCGAATTTTGACAAAATTTATTTAATTTACAAATTCTTCAATTGTTAAAAATTTATAAAAGGTTTAAATTTTTTAGCTAAGGGTTGAAAATTTAAAACAAGGATCCACTTTAGTATTTGATTAGGCTGTAAAAAAAAAAATCTAAAAACTATTTCTACACAGTTTTTTTTTTATAGTTATTTGAAGTTCAAATATGGATGAAATTACATATTAAATAATCAAGAATAACAATTTTAGTTATAGTTTTAATTTAAAAATATTATTTATAAGAGTATACCTACTTTATATTCTATCTGTAATAGTTAATGTCGTCAATGAATTATAAGTTATACATAAATACGTTAAAATAAATAATGTATTTCTGCTATGAATGACTGAGTGAGGCGGGTACATAATGAATCTGATTTGATTAGTTAGACATTTATTTTATAGGTACCTACATTTTTTATTTTTTTGTTGAAATAATAATACAATTAACATATAGTACCAATAACCTAACCTAAACAATCGTCTCCCCTCAGAATCTTCTTTTGTATACAATAATATTATATAATATAATCATTGAATTCAAATTTAACACCATCCATTACACTCAATACTGCAGTAGGGGTACAGCAGAGCAACATCCACCTACCCACTTAAAAAAAATAATCTATGTCTGAGTTTATATTCTAGAGTTGTTGATAATATGTGGATTGTTTGCTAATTAATGGATTACTTTTACATTATATTAAAATAAATAAAGGAATGAACAAACTAACGTGCGTTATAAATCTTTTTACATAATATACCCTACTCATGTATAAAGCATATAACGATATAACTATAGGTATATAAWATATACGTGAGATGCATCACACGCATTGAGGGTGCAGATCACTGATATTGCAGTACCTGCTAGTAGACGGCTGAATCGTCAACGTGACATTCGCCGTCGCCAGTGACAAATGGCAACAAGATTTATCGTATACATAGTGTGTGCGTAATTTCGTTGAAAAAAACGAAAATATCAAGGCGATCACATATTCTGAAAACAGACGATGAGATGGATTTGACATTTTTTCGTATTCAAATCCACACTCAAGTACATAGGTACACCTCACAGTACTAAAGACTGAATTAAATTATCAATTCAGATTTTAAATTCTAGACGACTGGATTATGATAATTTTGTACCCAAAATAAACAATTTTAAAGGCCAAATGAAATGGGTAAGGCACTAAGGCCGTAAGCGTAGTTGAATGCGATGAATTTATAGACTTTTGTAGTTCTTACTTCTATGTTAAACACGTTTTATAAAAATAAATGCTTTGATATTCAACATTAAGAGTTATTTTGATAAAAAAATTAGATTTTTTACCTGTAGCTGATTTGAATTATAAGTAGAAGGAACATCTTGAAACTGGAAGSGTCTAGATTGTAAATTTCATGTAAAGTATTTTTTTAGTTTTTTTCTTAAAAATATCAATTTACAATAGGTATTATTTGCTTAATATTATTTATTATTATAGAATAGGCACTGGTAGTAACAAAAGCAATAAAATAATTATTTTTTATAAAAAAAAACAAAGGTAACAATTTAATTGTTTACCTACTTGTCATAATATTATTATTATAACAAGCAGTTAATAATAAATCAAGTAAACTCGTTTAAATAATATATAATCATTTTATTTCATTGAATTGTTRAATATTTTGATCTAATGATTAATGACATGTGCATGCAGGTGTGAAAAATAATCCAAGGATGATGYTAGTGATTGGTGTGGAATACACACATATTAATGATAATTTGCCACACACAGACGAGCAGTAACTACAAGAAACCAAATAATTGCCTAAGCATTAACTCCTTTAATGACACGTTTGTAGACTTTCAGATATACAAGTACGGAATGATGCACCTGATCAGTAATATTTTTGAGTTTCCGACCTTCTCACATTGTGGGAAAATAACTAATGATTGGATAGGATTATTCTGTCATATTAAGTTAATAAGAGATCATTTTTACTTAAGATCTAAAATAAAATTAATACAACAAGTATAAAATTATAAAATGACATAAATATTATAAAATGTAAGGATAAATAATTAACAATGATGAGTATACTATTAATGTTTATTTCAAATATCAAAATATCATGAGATAATTTATTTGGCTCCCCATTTTAAGATTATTATAGATATAACTATGAATGTCAATTGACATTAATGACTTATCTATAAATGACTAAAACCAAATCCACTTTCCAGAGCGAAAAATCAATCAACTCAATATTCTCAAGTATAAAAACATGTCTAAGAATCATTTTTAAACATGGTTTAAAACACTTGAACATTGGTTCTCTATACATAAAATAGAGTAGCCCTGAAAAATATAAACATAATCAATTTTTTCAAAGTATAAAACAGATGGTTAGAATTATTAAGATACTTTACATTTTTCATTGCACAAGTATATGATAGTTATTACTTATTAGTTTAAATATTTAACTCTGCAGTATTATACTATATTCCAAATAAGTATGACCACTCGACCAAGGAAAACTGGTTGCCACCGCGTATCCTCAAACCTACAAACAACAAACGGCGACCAATCRTAGAGTACTCTTTCACAGATCTTGGTAGTCTGAATGTGATTTGGTAGCTCAGTATGCATACGCCAAACTGGTCATACTTATTTGGAATAGTATAGTTGGTACCCATGTATGATATTCAAAACAGTAATTATATCAATTACATCAATCATTTAAACTACATTATTCATTACATTCATTACATTTTACAAAAATTGTAAAATTAATTATAAATAATCTGAAACTTTATAATCCTTGAATAACTTATTTAAATTTCTCTAAATAATACTGTTACCCCAATATTGTATGCAAATTAATTTATAACAAAATATAACATAATAAAACCACCACATTGTCAAAATAATAAATGTAATGACTAATTAACCGAGAACACCATCTCCAAAATATGTTTCTCTTTCTTAAAGAATATATAATATAGTAAATTTTACACTCACAATAATCCATTTTACAAATATTTTATAGAATTAAACTGGATTGACCTATTATAAAATGTAGTTTTCATAACATGTTTCATAATTAAAAACCAATAAGCCTTTGAGATATCAGGGATATTAATCTTACTTTCAATTTTATAATAAGCCAATTTACTTTAACTTTGAAAAATAAAAGAGTAAAAATGGCTCATTCAATCATTGTGATCTTAAAATTTGCTGTGTTGTACATTTGTAAGATAGAGACAACACATGCATATAGTATTCTCTTATAAAAATAATGATAAGTAACAAACCAATGATAATCATTAAATACAGCTAATATCATATACGTCAGAAGATGATATTCACAACAATTATTCGTATTAAAAATGCACGATTTTGTAGTATGGTCACTGGTCAGTGTTATCCACATTCAGCCACATGTTAATAATATTCTGTAACATAATAACCAACATCTTAAAAATGCTTAAAACCAATATAAATATTATGACAGTTAAATCATTTTACAAAAAACTATTCAAATATTTTTAATTTTAACATGAATTCATATTCTAACATGACATAACTTTCTGTGTTTTAACAATGAAATACAAAATGTTTGATGTCATAATTATTATTTTAAATGGTCACTGTAAAAGATTGGTAGTACAATCATTAATTACTGATTGAAAATGGCCATTCCCAAAAAAATAAATAAAATATTTACCGCACGGATTTAACCACAACAACCAAGTTTTCTTGGTAAATTGGTAAATGAGTGGCCTGTTTAAATCCAATGATATTGAATTACACACAGACGAACAAATTAAATTAATTTAATATTTGTTTACCTAAGAATGAGTATTTTACACGAATCGCAAACGCACCGGCTTCGTTCAAATAGTCTTCGGAACATTGTACGCATCGAACAGTGTACGGAAATATCACGCTTTCGGCAAACTACGTTATCGGTCGGCTGTAACRGTCAAACTAAAAAACACTTAACTAATATATAAGAGAATACAGGGACTACAAAATTAGATGGTATTTATTATACTTATTTTAATTTTATTTTAATATAATTTTTTACAATGAGAATTACAATGTAATGTTGTCATAAGATTATTTGGGCTTACAATATTAATATATTTTAGTAATTTAATTAATACATTAACCTAACTGTAATGACCTTTAAGAATAAAGGCTTACATTCTAATTTTCTAAAGAAAATTTGTTTAATAACTCGACAAACAGAAATTCCAGAAATAATTGTTAATATATGATTGATGTGATTATAGTGATATAGAAAAAAAAACATAAGTCAATGAATCTTAAAATAATTCTAGAAAATTATTTTATATACATCTAAAGTAGAAAATATGAATCAATATAAATAATCTAAGAGCCCAGATAATTTAACCTTTTATGTCTAATACCTATAAATAAAATAAAATTGTAATTTGTGACACTAAGAAATTATACTTTTTAATTAAACCTAAAAAAAAAAAACCTATGTAGACAAATAATCTTATCAAGATTTCATAAATATAATTTTAGCTCCTTAAAAACTTGAGCCGATTTAAATAAAAAATTGTTGACGGTCGGCGATGTGTGAGTGTACGGTTATCCGATCCGGCGACGCGAATATACGGCGGCGGCACGATAATATATACACGTTTTTTTTAATACGGCGTGTAACGCGACGAACCGCGAGATCCCGAAACTCTGACGGAAAAAGAAAAACATAATCGGGGATTAACCAAATACATTTATAAATACAAACAAACAAACAAACATACATACATACATACATACATACATACTTACACACACACAAATAAAAACAAAATAATATTAAGGTTTATAAGCATGCACATTTAAATTATTCAAGTAAACATTAAGTAATGAATACAAAAAGCTATAACATTTTTATCTCAAGGAAAAAGTGAGAAGTAGTGTATTATAGTTTGTTCATACTGTTTTTAATTATTATTGAAAACAACAAAAAAATAAATACAAATAATAATGATTCTAAATTKTTTAATATTTAGATATATTAAAATGAAAAACTTGTTTGGGAATAAAAAAGTAGTTTTGATGATTTTAAAATAGTAAAGTGAACTTTTATTATAATATATTAGGCTCTTTCAACAATATATTTTTGAATATCAATATTGCTTTTTTTTTTTTTATTAAAAAAAAATTTAGTTAATATAATGATACCTACTAAGATTTATAGATATACCTATGGGCTATGACCTATGACCAGTAAACAGATTATTTTTAAATATATTAGACACAATATTAGGTATTCAAATCAGATAGTTTTCTGTCACCTAAATAGTAAATACTTAATGGCCTGGGMCAATTAATTTAAAATTTATTTCAATATTTAATATATTGTACAATACATTAAGATTATTGAATATCTACGTTTYCAAAAAAAGTTTTGCAATATCGATACTGAATTGAAATATTAATATCGTTGAAGAATCCTAAAATATTATATAATTTCTATAATATACTAACTGTTTTTTTCAATAAAATTAAACAAGTATAACAAATTAATAAATAACACTATATGAAAGTTGTTGAAGTGTAGTGAGTAATAAAAAGTTTGTAAGTAATATACTATTTTTTTTAATGTACATTCAAAAGTTAAAAATAATAACAAATTCATATCACTTAAAATATTATTTTGAGATAAAATGTTAATAGTGCATATTGTATGTTTTTTATGCAAACACTATCACCTACTTCACAAACAAATAAATTATGGTACTATTAATAATAAATAATGAAATTATGTTTTTWTTAAAGATAATAAATAAAAATTTAAAAATTAATGTTGATAATCTGTAACACTATTCTATATAAGAATAAACCAAAAACCAATAATTTATTTGGTTCACACATGAACTATGATTAAAGCTGAGTAATTAATTGATTAATAGTTATATTATTAGGTATGTCATATTATAATAAATTAATTTATCTTAGAAAAAAAAATTGATCAACCGAAAGTAATAATTTAACTTTTTTTTATTGGGTTTTTTTTCTTTTTTCTGTATGGTACTATGTCCAGGAGTAGGCATGAAGGCCTAATTTGGACGCCTATTTGGCAGAATTTCGAATGAGTACCCGTAGGTTTTTGCCACATCGGCAGCCTCACTTTCCAGATAGCATGAAYTGCTTAGAAAGCGATGCTGCCCATGGCTGGGATTCGAACCAGTTACGCTGCACATTGCAACCAACACCCTAATCCGCCTAGTAACAACACCCCCCTAATTATTTAATTGTGTAATCAAAAATAAACCAAAAKAAATGTTGAATAATCATGGTTTTTCATCAAAAAATGCTAAATGGGTACAACAATAGATTGTCAAGGTCAACTATTACTCAACTCTATTCATGATTATCAAAGGTAAAACTATCTGAAAGGAAAGCGCCGAGTTGTTTGGTGATCAGTTTTCATGCAAGAAACAGTTTATTCTTACTTKGAATAGAGTATATTATATCATGTACTATTGTTATTTATTTTAGAATGTAATATTAAAAAGAGTATTAATTTATTTGTTCACTGGTTGAAATAAATTATAAATGATAAATTCTTTTAACTGTATTCATTTCAACATCAAAGAAGATTTTTATTTAGAGTTTAAGTAGATTTAATCATAAACAAACTTACCGGCGATCATCATACGAATCCCTAGAGAAATCATCATATGCATGAGATGAACTGTAAAAATCAAATCAAATATTTTACAAGCATTAACATTATTTTGATAATATACTATGTATATTGTAATTTTAATACTAACGATGTACGACTGCTTGACAATGGTGAACGGCGTGTGAATACATAATCTTGGTCACGCATTGTTGTTCCAATACGTGTGGATGATGGTAAGTAATCGCGACTAGATGGCATTCTTGGCATTCTTCTATCCATGCCATAACCATCAGCAGCTGTTCGCATAAGGCTACGATCATAGTAACGGTCATACAAGCCTTCAGTCTAAAATTGAAATTATTAATCAGCATAAATGATAAATTATTAAATATTTTTAAACGCTTACTTCATACATATGACCACCAAGATCAGAGTGTGATAACATTGAGTAATCATCCATCTATAAAATAAAAAAATGAATAAAATACAATTTTTGAGCTTTACATATAACTTAAGTTTCAAGTTGGACCTAATTATTTATGGTTTCTATGAACTAAAAAAATGACTTAGAGGAAGAACTCTACTAGATTTACACATTTCAACTAAAGATGTTTTAATTATGCAATAAGTAACCAAATTTATAGTCAAGTTTTTAGCTAGTAAATATTAGTAGATCAATAATCATTATAATTTAATTCCACCAATATTGGAAACTAGATTAAGCTAAGATACATAGTTAATAACAGAAGAAAAAATGTTCTTCAGAGGTAATTGCTTGATGTGGTCAACGTACACAATACAGCTGTGTCAGTTAAGTACTATTATTTTGTTTAATTATTTGTGTTTCCAACATTTTGAAACAATCATTATAATTTATTAAATTATTTTATACATGTAAATAAAAAACTAAGTTTTTATACTTGATTATTGCACCAGGTAGAATATCATGACTAATAACATTAGGAGTAATAACCAGAAATACCTTTTTTTTTTCTTTCTTTGAAATATACAACCTGTACCTATGAAGCACAATGAGTACATGAGATGAGAGATACATACATATACAGTTAACATTAACAAAATACTAACCTAGCATATATTACATGAATACAAATGAATACAAGGGTTGTGAGAAGCCATCAATCAATGACATTCACGATGGGTATTTATTATTATTTTTTTAACCAGAAATACCTAGAAGTATTTTTTATAGTAATAGTMGTGTCACCAAATAAAAAAATTTTCTGATTAATTAATAATTCAAAAAAGTGGACTTATCTGATTATTGCACTAACACCCTCCGTTTGAAGTAAATACATTTATTAAATCGAAAAGAACCCCTTTTAATGATATTTTTTTATATTTAAACAAATTAATGAAATATACAGAGTTAATATTAATGCATCAATGTCCTATTAGATTTTTAGATCCGTGATTTTTTTTTCTACAAGCAATAAAAAAMATATTTACATGTAATAATTTGTGCATGATTAATTAAGTAGTCTCAAATTTAAATTAAGGTTAAAAATCAAGAGCTGAAAGCTTGAAATTTTCAGCAAAACTGTAAGTTTTCAATTTATTGTACATGAATACCGGCAGAAACAGATGTAGGCTGTAGTTACATTTCTAACTTTGGAATATGTAATAACTAATAATAGTTTTTTCTTTTTTATTAATATTATGTATTCAGTAATAACAACAAYAAAAACTTAGATAATTATTGTAAGATTGATAATGATAATATACCGACTATATTGTTGTAATACCTAATAGTTAAGTGTTAAGTAAATAATTAAAAAATGTTAAATTCAAAAACTATTGAATTCAATAGAATAAAATKTAAAACTAAATTACAGAGGTATTTAAAATTGTACATCTCATTTAATTCTTCTAGGTAATTTTAAGGAAAAAGACAATATTGAAATAATTTTTTTATTTCTAATATTGTAAGTGGTTGTGTTTATTTATTTATAGTATTAAAAATCAACCAATCATCAAAAAACAAATGAATGTAATAATTACATATACATTTAATCTACCATACTTTGACTTGAACATATTTACAATGCCACATTAAACAGTTTTGAATACCTCTGAATTAATGCTTAATTCTACAAAGATAAAAATTATTTTTCCTTATCAAAAAATCTAAAATCTTAATGCTGTTAATACATGTTCACAAATTTAAAATTTAAGAAAAAGTACTTCTTGAGCCAAAATTAAAACACAATATAACAGTATCAACTTATAATTTAATACTAAGTACTTACTCTAGTCATATCAGTTTTTAAGCCGGTACCATAAGAACCAAGAATGCGATCACGAACAAATGAAGGTGGTGGTGGTGGTGGATAAAGCAACGCACGTGGTGGTGGAAGCGGTGGTAAAGCATCTCTTCCATATCCGTACCTAAAAAGGAATARTTTTAAATACAAATTTCAACTTTTTTAAATGATGGCTATGAGTTAAAGAACAATGTGCGAAATAAGTTGTAAGGCTCACCCTTCACGACTGCACTCCCGAGACCAATGGCCACCCTTGCCGCACCTGAACAAAATTTCCCGTTTCATTTTTAATGAAATTCATTTCATTTTTATTTTATATATCAAACAAAACATGTGACTAGCAAGTTACTTCTAAACACATTTTCTTTAAACTAAACTAATAAATAGTTTATACCTATAACATTGCTCTGGCATGCCCATTCCAGGTCTCTGGCGAACACGGCTGTTTGAAATTTGCACCTTGATTGGTTGACCATCTAACATATGYCCGTTTAAGTCTTTTATGAGTCTGCTTACATCAGTCGAATCAATATGCTAAAATTAAATAAGTCAATAAAAAGTGATACTGTGATATGATCCCCACAAAGGAAAAGATATTATTTCTATTCTTTAAATTTGAGTTTTTATTTTTTTATTTGATGTAATTATTTTTCTGAATTTTAACAAAAATGGTAGTAACTACATTTTATTGTATAGAATATCTTTAAGTTGATTCACACTATAATCAGTTTTGTTGGAAATCCAGAAAACAATTACAAAAAATTTAAAAAAAAAAATGTGAACATTAACACTTACCACAAAACCATAAGTTCTAACAATGTCACATTCAACAACAGTTCCGTATCTCCCAAATAATTCTCGTACTTCATTGGCCTTTGTAGTTTCTGACAAATTTCCAACAAAAATTTTTGTAGTTGGGGTATTGGGACCACGGCGACTAGTGGCAGCTTCAACCTTCATGGCTAAATCATTAACCATTGTACCATTCAAAGCTTTGATAGCTGCACGGCCATTGTTATCATCATCCATATGCTAAATTGGGAAATTCAAATTTTTGGATGAATAAAATAAAGATTTATACTATGTATTTGTATGCAAATTGATTATTTATATTTACAATCTGTTATATAATTTTTAAATACTTACAACGAAACCAAAATTTTTCATTACATCACATTCAACAACTTTGCCATACTTCTCAAATAGTGGTCTGATATCATTAGATGTGGTTTTTTCAGAAAGATTTCCAATGAAAATTTTAAAAGTTCGTACACTACTGTTGTTAAAACTTGTGTTACTTTCGGTGTCGGACGGCATTTTTTCTTTTGCTGTAAAACATATTAAATATTATTAATGTTTCTTAAAAAAGAGTTAGCATATAGTGTGGTTGACACACGATAGAAATTTTCAACTTAATGACCTTAGATTGAAATCTGGATTTTCAGAAGGTAAAATGAGAACTCAAATAACAATTTATAAAATACAATTTTATAATTTTATATTTGAGCTAATTTTTATTGGAATACATAGTATAATGTAATATCATTAGTTACATCATTGAATTGTTTTAAATTTTAACTCAAATTTCATTTTGTATTATTAGTGTAAGTTAATTGACATTTCAAAATGTATGAGTTCATTTATAAAAATATTTTTCTCAATTTTTAAAATTTGAAATTTTGACTAAATTCATACTACACACCTTGAAATCTTCTCAAAATTTGGATTTAGGTAAATATTTTACCTCTCAACAATATCAGTTCAATCCAAAATCATTTTTAAAGCTGAAATATTTAGTTATACCTCTTAATATTTTAATAGTTCAAAAAAAATGAGTAGTTATTCAGATGCTAAGAATATTGTTTATAATAACAAATTGTTTCATTAGGCAATACGATATAAAAGGAGCTGAAAGTAGGGAGTGAACAGATGGATAATAATGGTAAGCTAGTTGTAATATATATAGATTTTGTTTTTACATAGTATAGTAAGTAGGTACAAGTGTTAAGTAAAGTATAATATTATATCCAAAAAATGTGTTTACAATAGGTAATACTGTAGTAGTTAATCAGTATAGTTAAGTTTTAAACTAATGGGTAAGATAGATGTACAACATGTCTATATAAATATAACTGGGGAGAGGGCTTCAGTCTTTCCAAGATTGTTTATAACCCACTTAGATTTTAGAGTCAATATGTATGGAAAGATTATATTATAATAAATATTAAGATAATATTGTTGACTTCATATTTGCATTACTTACAATTTAAAAAAATTTACCAATCATGTTTAATACAACCTAACACAAAAAAATTAAACTAATGAATCAGTATAAAACCAAAACAAAATTAGCAAACAATTATTTATATTTCTAAGAAAAACATCAATTTATTAGATGATAAGTCCTCAAATAATAGTCTTAATCTGTTAGACATTTAATATTGATTGTTGGTTATGTGTAAACATAGGTACATATTTAAGTATGATTAGTCTTTTATACCTACCAACACAATAGGTATTTTTATTTGAATTAATTTTAAATTTTCATTATTGTGAAGAGGAAAAACATGTACAATATACCTAATTACCAGCCATAATATTTATAGGAATTACAGAAGTGATTATAGTCATACTTATAATAGAAAGAAAAAAATTAAGAGACTTGTTCAAATATGACAAAAAATTTATACAGAAATTTAAGTAAAATTAATTGTGAGGTGTATTATCCATATTCATGCCTATTGATACCAGACACCAGTACCTACATAAAATATTAAGATACCTACAACTAAGTGTTTTTAAGTAGTATTAACCTACTAGTGCTAACTAACTCATACCAATAATTTATTCAATATTTTACATAGTATGAAATGAACCTATCAGAGCATATTTAAAATTTTTGTCAAATTTACATGTTTCATCAAGATAATATATATATATATATATGTAATATTCATATAAATCATAAATTTTTAAAACTATGTTTGAGTGACTGTCTCTATAATTATTTTACTATCAAAATGTCAAGTTTCTAATCTATTCCCCCACTAATTAGAGTAGTACATGTCTACCTATTTGATTTTGTCAGTATTCAATAAACCTAGAGATTACTGATTGTAAAATAGGTATGATATACAGATAGATAATATGTCAGATAATGCATTTATTTAATACCTATAAATATAATATAATAATAGTACCTAGTATCTACCCATTACATAATAAATTTGAAAATTATTTGAAACRTTGCTCTTTGGGAATGAACTAACACATTGAGGCAAAACAGAAAACAGATAGGTACTTTTAGGTGATCAAGTGAATAAAAACTGAGTAGATGCATAGGTATACATAGATATACAGTTTTGATGTTTGATGACTCACTACTTATTAATTGATGGGAGCGATATCACATACACAAAAGATTTAACATTCATTTAATCATTTACATTTTACACTAGGGTTTAATCAATTAAAAAACTATTCTTACACACTGAAATGATCTGATCACGAATTTCGAATAACAAGAATAAAACGAAACAGAGGTTATCGAGTTTGGTCAGGTTGTTACTGGAATTTACTGAGAAACGCCAGTGGCACAATTAAAACGCAGACCGCAAACTCTTTATTATTGTAACTCCGTTAACAACGATCGCGCATGTGGGACAATGCTGAGTCGCGGACATCCGGTGGCTTATAATACTGACCGGCTGTCTCCTCGGCAACGGTGTCTTCTTCAGTGGTACAGTCAACCAATTGTCTGCCCCGTTTGTGGTCAAAATCTCGCATTTCTCGTCAACACTGTGATGTGGATCGAGTGTTGTTTTCGTTGTTAATTACAGTATTTTCGTGTGCGTTCAAGGGCCACCACGTCATACACTCACCACACACGGACGATACACGACAGAACGCAGCAGCACCAGCAGCAGCAGCAGCAATAGCAGAATCGGCGGCGGCGTCAGTCGATCGGTGGCTGTAGTGTAGTTGTTGCGATGTGCTTACGGCGGCCAAAACGAATTTACGTTATGTACCGAAGTGTCTGGACAGCAAAAAGTAAACGGCGACAAAAAACGAAAAAAAATTCACKAACAAACTATAAAAAAAAAWGTTAAGTCGTCAACATACGAAATACGAATAGAACACAAGAGAATGCGACGGTGATGGGTGGAGGGACTGGTGGGAGTCGGGGAGAACCAATTCTCGGATAAAACGTCAGTGTTGAGTGTACAAAATAGCTAAGCTAATGTGTATGTGTGTACAAGTGCGTGTGTACACGATAAATTGTGTATATTTGTGTAAATGTATGTAACTGTGTGAGTGACGGTGTTATTGGTGCATGGAGCGCAATGAGCCGCCGATGGCCTGACGCGACGCCGCCGGGAGAGGGAGCAATTGCACGACGTCTTTGCCCACTCATGGAACAACCGAACGCTTACCTCCGTCGTTTTTTTCATCCATGAAATCCGTGCGAGTAGTGGGTACAACATATTGAGCTGGAGCTGCTGCTGCAGCCTAGATTTTATATTGAGCTGATCTGAATGATGAATGTGATGACTTAATGATAAATAAGAGTTATGGACTTCAATACTTAAAATAAATATGCATTTATGTTTGTAAAAAATTATTTTTCTGATTTTTAAAGCAAATTATAGGCCTTATGATTATAAGGAACATTTTATAGGCAACTTCTTAGGCATTCGGTTTCARTCATYGTTACCCCTGTTGGTCGTCTTTTTGAAAAAATAAGTACAATACACAATATTACAATAATATGTATCAAGTTTTGTATTTATTTAAGCTAATATTGAGCTTGTGAGTTTGTGATATTTGGGTTTGCACATCTTATGATTGGTAATGTTTTTTTTTTTTGTATTTATTTATTTTTTATTATCCCGAACCAATTTTAAAGTCAAGTTAAAAATCTTTTGGTACTTTATTTTTATATCGCATTAAAATCTACTATAAATTGGGGACCCATGCCCAAAACTATTAAAATTGTAAAATTGCCATTTGAAAATGTAATTTTCATCTAGAAAATAATTTTAACAATTTCGTAATTTTGCGAATTTCGCCAAAATTTTAACTTCGGTTGCTTATAAAAAAAAAACACATAGTAGATGTATTTTTAATATATTTCTTAACTTACTATAAAAGCTGTTTTGATGTGGGACCTTGTATTAAATGTTCAAGCTTTTTTTATTGAGTMTAAAAAGTAATATAAACAATTCAAATATTTAAAAAAAATATATTGTGTATAAATTTTACAGAAAAAATTTGCAAATTTACGTGATCTTAATGAATTTTGTGAAATGTTGAAATTGTTATTATGTAATTTTGATATTTTTTAACCAGGGCGTGAAAAAAATATAAGGAACCTTATACCTAGTATTATAGTATTAAATATTAAATTACTATAATAACATTAAATTGTCAAGCTTTTGTCTTTTTTATTCAAAAACTAATGTGATACCATACACGCAAAACATACATCAATAATGTAACTATGTAAGACCCCTAGGTACATGTCATAGTCATCGGTCCTTTCCGAGGTCCTTTCATAATCAAAACTTACTATTATTATTATTTTTTTTAGTATTATTATTTAAGATTWCCCGACATTTTTTATCATCTAAATTTAGGAACATAGATTTAAATTGTTGACATTTGTATATAAAATATCATTGGACATTGGTTATACTTATACAAGATTACTAGCTAACAGTTTAACAGAGTGCAGTTATAATTTTTACATTATTTTAACGTTATTCACCTACAATATATAAACCAATTATTCTGTTTATTCATCAGTCCAAAATTGGAATAGTTTCCAAATTCATAAAATAGTTGCCTTTCCAGTTTAAAATATATCCAATTTATAAGAAATTGATGACATTTATTTTCAAAATTGTACGATAATAAAAAACAATATCATAACACCTATATGTATCTATCGATTCTATTGTACCTAACATGTAATATGTTGTGTACCACAATGATAATTGTTAATTTAGATATTATGCATAAAGCCATAAAGTAAATATCGAAAAATATATGGTATTCGAATAGCTTTGGAAAATTTCCGTTATTATATTATMTATATCAAGAAATGTTTTGGCTTGATAAATGATAATTTATAATGAGAAAACTGCTTATAATGATTGAATTTTAGTTTTTTAAAACCTGTTATTCTAACAACATTCTCACATAATATTAAAATTATTTTGATAAATATGTTATGTAGGTATCCTGTTGAAATATTTCATTGAAATAAATTCATCCGAATTATAAATAATAAATTAAAGTTAGAATTTTCATTGAAGAAACGGTAAAACAAATGTYATAAGAAGAAAACTATAAAAACCTRTCCAAATTATATTTTTTTTAATGTATTAATATAATTGTTTCAACACACCAAGTATTTTTACAATGTTTTTACGATGCTTTTACAATATTRAATTCTATCTTAATATAGTTAATATTATATCCATAACAAACTAGACTAGAAACTAATGCAGTTTAGTGCACTCAAGATTTAAAATTTTTTTTAACTATTTGCTTTTTATACTTTTAAAAATTTTATTATTATTTATTGGTACTATATAGTTTCGTTTACGCTCACGTTTCTCTACTTATTTCTTCTTTTATTTTCGAAGTTCTAATCATTATACTGTATTTAAATTCTATACATTTATAAATTAAAATAACAATAATACAATTTAAAATACACAAGCACTTTAATAATTTAATAGTGTATCAATTATGAAATCCAACAGAATAATTAAATTATTTTTATATTTTACTTATGGTCCACAAGTTCACAACACAATTATTATAGTAATACAATTCGTTAGAATATAGTTTTAGAGCGGCCGCTTACAGTCTATTGCTGAGTTAGCAATTAGTATTTAATCCAAAATCTAAATTATGGTATCAGACTCCGAAATATTCCACCACCGTATTCACCATTAACACAGAATTTCCATCAAACTAATCAGAATAGGGTCAAACCATAATTTTTTTTTATCTAAAAAGAGATAAACAACACTTTTTTTATATTACACGCATAAGACGTATAGTCATATAGTTACTAGGTAGTAGGTAGTATAATATAACTAATATTACCGGAGTCAAAAAAGTGCACTATGCCTAAATAAAAAAACTAGTTTTATTTGAACCAAGTATACAAACGTGAACTCAAAAATCACCATAAACTAGTTTTTCAAATAATTACTGGTATTGAATAATATTGATATAGTATCTATGGTGTGAGTTGAACTTGTCCAAAATGCCTCGTGTCATGGATTATCGTTATATTTGAGCAAGTGGATGAAACAATGTTACGTTTTATTTTATGCATTACCGTAGATGACACAAATGCGTAATTTACAGGTTAAAATTAAACGCGACATGCAGTATACTCAGTAATTCAGTACAGATACAATACAAGATAAGTATGAAAAAGGCAGTTAAGACTATACATCATCTATGTGTACCACGCAGTATACATTTTATCAGTGAAAGCTTCTTCCATTATGGAAAACTGACAATTTTATTTTTTTACAGATATGAAGTTTTTCTTTTGTGAAAGCTTTTTGAATTTATAGTTGCTGTTGTCTATCTAGTACAAAAAAACATAATATTAATTAGTTAATTTAATATTTAAAAAACAACTGAATTTAGGAAAAATTTTAATTTGTTACATAATTATGTAATTTGTAGATATTAATTATTAAAAAAATGTCATCACTTCATCAGCAATTTTCAATAAAGTATAATTTAATCATTTACTCATTGACTTTTACTTAAGTGCCAACTAGCCACTAAATTGTTTCAATTTACAATTAATACATATGCATTCGATATGATATACCATATGGATACTTAAAAATCAATACTATTTTTTCATATATATCATAAAATAATGTTAAGTATATTATAGTATATAGAAATCACTTTGCCTTGGTTCCCCTTAATGTTYAATGTTTAAATGYWTTGAAAGGAATATATTATATTCATTAAAATTAAATTACACCATATCATTTTTAACTATAATTTAACAAGACATTAGACTACACAAAACAAATAGTTTAATATTTATAACAATTCAGTGAAATTATTAGATGAATTATATTATTTTTGTTACACTTGAACCAAAASTTAATTTTTTTTTAAACTTTGGAAAATTACATCCGTCAATTGAATTGTATACAAAGAATTGCATATTATAATATTAATTCAACTTACCGTCTACCATATTAATAATAACTAATAAGTAATAATAATAACAATATAATTTATGTAATATAAAATATCATAGACCAACAAACCGTCTCCGCTCAGAATCGTTTTTCGTATACAACGATATTAATCATCGAATTCTAATGTAATACTATCATTACTATCCATTATACTCATTATTATGGGCATATGTAATTTGCCCCAAAAGTAACCCACCAAAAAATATATTTATGTAATTTGTGACACATCTAGAAATTATTTTTTGTAATTTAGGCCACTGTTTAAGTTTGTAATTTGTGCTACTTAAAACTAAATACAGGGGTATTRTGTAATCTGCGCCATTTTATACAATTTCAAAAATTGTAATTTGGGCTACTTTCAAATAACTAAACAATATTTTTAAAGTTTAAATAATTGTATAAAAAAGTATATCAGGACACGTAACAGCTAAGTACAATTTGGATATTAAAAATATTTAAAAATCAGTTGTCAAATTATAATAATTATAAACAAAAGATAACATATTGTTATACAAAAGATAACCAATTAGGCATAATCGATCTCGTATCTACTTATTATTAGTAGAACACAACAGTCAAAAATGTTATGTACATCCGGCACGCGCTATAGCTGGTATTATCGTATTTCCGATGCGATATATTAGTAAATTTATCTAAAATCTGATGGTAAATTCCAACGATTAAAGTTGAAACTTGAAAGTGTGGTGCAGATTACATATTCCATTTCGTTTAACCACACACATTAGTACACTAATTATTCCTGGTCTACATAATAAAAGTTATCAATTTTAAATTATACTAGTTTATATTTTAATGTATGAATATTCAATATTGATAATATTATATTGGATAAAAAAATATTTATCAGAATGTGCTGAAKGTAAAACTAAATGGTTTACGTAGGTAATTGGGTTACCAATGTTACTAGCCGTAAAATATAGGACGCGATTGGTATACTGATCCTTAAATTCACATTTTGTTGTAGGTGCAACTATACTGGCTCATGTCCAGACCAGATTGCTGAGGAACGTTTTTTTATATTCGTACACCAGTCATCAAC